CAACACTCCTATGCCAATGGACTGATACCCGCCCTCAAGCTGAAGAGACCGCGTCTCTCGGAGGATAGCAACTTCAATGGATCCTCCACGATGGATGCACCACTCGTGCCCGAGGACGATGACTACCACTACTTACTAAGTCTGCATCCGTACATGAAGCAGTTGACCGCCGCTCAAAAGCTACGCATACGCACCAAGATACAAAAGCTCATCTTCAAGGAGCTCTACAAGGAGGATCTCGAGGAGTCCAAGTAGTGGAATAGACTAGACTAAGCCCAAGACTGTACATACGCCCTGTAGCCTAGATCATAAGCATTATACTTAGTTTTTCTCCATGCCATGCTACTTGATTGATTTCTAGTTGAGCGCCACTCCAAGGAAAGCTGGGAGTGCGCCATTTACGCCTAAGCACAAATACCTTGGAAATAAAGATGTAACTGTAAAAGGTTTTCCAGTTTTTAATTATTTTTATAAGAAAAGGGAGGGTTGAAATTATCTTAACACTTATTAACTGTTATATTCCATTTTTTTAGGTGAGGTATACGTTTTGGACGATGGCGCCGAGGTGGATTTGGATTTGGGAAACTATGAACGCTTTCTGGATGTCACTCTGCATCGGGACAACAACATAACCACGGGCAAGATCTACAAGTTAGTCATCGAAAAGGAGCGCACTGGCGAATATTTGGGCAAAACGGTTCAAGGTGAGTTATTAAAAAACGTAAATAGTGTTTTATAAGATTTCCCTATGAAGGCGAAAGAAATTAATCTTGTAGATTAGAGAAAACATATGAGTGATTCTTTGTGAAACGTATCGAGAGAAGTTAAAAAAAAAATCCATTTGACAGAAGCGAAGATGTGGCGATGCTATTTTTATACCCTTGCAGAGGGTATTATAATTTCAGTCAGATGGTTGCATAGCAGTGAAGGAGATGTATCCGACCACATAAAGTATATATATTCTTGATCAGCACCAATAGACGAGTCTATCTAGCCATGTCCGTCTGTCCGTCTGTCTGTCTGTCCGTCTGTCCGTTTCTATGCGAACTAGTCTCTCAGTTTTAAAGCTATCGGCTTGAAACTTTCCCAAAAGTCTTCTTTCTATTGCAGGTAGTACATATGTCGGAGCGAGCCGGATCGGACCACTATATTTTAAGGCTCCCATAGGAATATTCAAACAAATATAAGAAAACTCATTGTAACTTTGTAGGAAGTAGGCGTTTTGATTCTTGACTACTTAAAAACAAAATTTAAATAAATAGAAACGCTGAATCTGGAATCCCTGGAACTGCACCGAGTGAGCATTCTTTTATCTGCAAGGGTATATAAGCTTCGGCTGGCCGAAGGTAGCTTCCTTTCTTGTTTTTGTTTAATTAATTTATAATTTTAAATAACGTGGGGTAAAAAATAAATCAAAATACCCAAAAATTATTATTTTTGCCAAGCTTTCAGATAAAAATAACACCCATAATGGTTCAAAAAAAAAAATATTTCATTCGCAGTTTTCTGCAAATCGGCATTTTTAATCTTTATCAAAAAATATTATAATGTTCTATACACAAATCTGGTTGGGTCTTGAAAGTTTCGTCATGCGACCTCCATTACTTTCTGCATAATTTAGTAAAACAATAAAAACAATATTTATAAAATTATTATCTCTGTTTTCTTCACAGTTGTCCCCCACATCACGGATGCCATTCAAGAATGGGTGGAGCGTGTGGCCCAAACGCCTGTCCAGGGATCCTCGAAGCCCCAGGTTTGCGTTGTGGAATTGGGCGGAACCATCGGCGATATTGAGGGCATGCCTTTCGTTGAGGCCTTCCGCCAGTTTCAGTTCCGCGTGAAGAGGGAGAACTTTTGTTTGGCCCACGTATCGTTGGTTCCGTTGCCCAAGGCCACCGGTGAACCCAAGACGAAGCCCACTCAAAGTTCGGTTAGGGAACTGCGTGGTTGCGGCCTGAGTCCCGATTTGATTGTCTGCCGATCGGAGAAACCCATTGGACTGGAGGTCAAGGAGAAGATCAGCAACTTTTGTCACGTGGGTCCGGATCAGGTGATATGCATCCATGACTTGAACTCCATTTATCATGTGCCGCTGCTGATGGAGCAGAATGGAGTGATAGAGTACCTCAACGAGCGACTGCAGCTGAATATTGACATGAGCAAGAGGACCAAATGCCTTCAGCAATGGCGCGATTTGGCCCGCCGCACGGAAACCGTTCGCCGCGAAGTTACCATTGCCGTCGTGGGCAAATACACCAAGTTTACGGACTCGTACGCCTCCGTGGTGAAGGCTCTGCAACATGCCGCTCTGGCCGTAAACCGCAAACTAGAGCTGGTCTTCATTGAATCTTGTCAGCTGGAGGAGGAAACTCTGCAGTCGGAGCCGAGCAAATACCACAAGGAGTGGCAGAAGCTGTGCGAAAGCGATGGCATCCTGGTGCCCGGTGGCTTCGGTTCCCGCGGCATGGAGGGCAAGATCCGAGCATGCCAGTGGGCGCGAGAGAATCGTAAGCCGTTGCTGGGCATCTGTTTGGGTCTGCAGGCGGCCGTGATTGAGTTTGCGCGCAGTAAACTGGGTCTCAAGGATGCCAACACCACGGAAATCGACCCGAAAACGGCCAATGCCCTGGTCATCGATATGCCGGAGCATCACACGGGTCAATTGGGAGGCACTATGCGTTTGGGCAAACGAACTACTGTGTTCGCCGAGGGTCCCAGTGTCATTCGTCAGCTTTATGGTAATCCCAAGACGGTGGAGGAGCGACATCGGCATCGGTACGAGGTTAATCCCAAGTATGTACCGCGGCTGGAGGAGCACGGCATGCGATTTGTGGGCACCGACGAGGACAAGACCAGGATGGAAATCATTGAGCTCAGTGGCCATCCGTATTTCGTGGCCACGCAATATCATCCGGAGTACTTGTCGCGACCCCTGAAGCCCTCGCCTCCTTTCCTCGGCCTGATCCTGGCCTCCGTGGATCGGTTGTCGCAATATATTCAGCGCGGTTGCCGCCTGTCGCCCCGCCAGCTATCCGATGCCTCTTCGGATGAGGAGGAGAGTGTTGTGGGCTTGGCCGGCGCAACGAAATCGTTGAGGTCCCTAAAGCTACCCGGCACACCCAAAAATGGAATTTCAAATGGCTGCAATGGTAGCTCCAGCACTTCCGACGGCGAAGGCGCCTGCGGAGGCGTTGATCTCACCAACGGCCATTAATGAAGTTGTGAACGGTTTCCTAACCCTGGAAGTGTTTAAGATCCGTTTAACAGAAGTGCTCCTGTTGGCGCAATTTGAACTTCGCCAACAGGAGCATAACTGGATGTGTATAATAGGGTGTTGTCGACTTAAACATCTTTTATGTTTCATTGAAGTGACTAAAAGTAATCCGCATATCCTTCTTTAGTTAGTATAAGTTAAATATAATTTTAATTTCATGAGGATTAGTCAAGAGTTATAACTAGTATGATTCTGATGCTCCAAGATTTTGGTTTTTCGTATATTTTATAATATTTTTATTATATTATGTTTCTTAAGAATTAAAAGCTCTATTCTACTACGCTAAAATGAAAATGTCACGTTTGCCTCAGAAATCGCTTAGCGCTGAGTTCTGGCTCTGTTTATCTTTTTTTATTTTGATATAAAACACACGGTATATTTAAATAATATGTTATTAATTTTAATGAACCAAGGTTTTATTGAACAGTTCTTAAATATGTTTTTGATTGGAAATAGTTTAGTTCTTTAAAACTAAAATATCCCCTCTTGTGTTACTTTATGTCACTCCGATTTGTCAATTATTTTGAAACCTTAAAAATCGACTCACCCTTGTGTGAATAGCCTCGCGTGTGTCTTCTTGAACGAAAATGGAAATAGTTTATAATCTCCTTAACTTACGACTACAATTACCATAATATAACTTGCTTATGGTATGGCTTAAACAATATTTAAAGCAAACAAAACGAAATGTAAGCAATTACCTTATCCATATATATTTTTAGATAAATAATGAAATAATTCTATATAAAATGTGCATTATTTGAATTTGGTGGGCAGCTGAAAAAAGTGTTGGAAACTACAAAAGTGTTGATAGTACAACTATCCCTTTTTCTCTTTGATGGCCTTTTCAAAATTAAAATCGTTACTTGGCGGGCAGTTTTTAAATTTAAATTCAAAGCTACTGATAAATGGGAAGAATTTTCTTGTTGCTATACAAATGTTTATTCACTATTGTATTTTTCAGGTTCGTTGGTGGTCGCAATTTTTAAATTAAATTGTTTCTGCATTGTCGAATTAGAATTAATTAGGTGCAAATTGTTGGTATAGTCGGAAAACAATTGTTTTAAAAATAAACTAAAGCTTTTTGTCACCATCGAAAGTGTCAACTAAATTTTGGAAACTACAAGGCGTCGGAACAAGTGCTAAAAATCTATTTTTAAGGTCAGGCACATCAATACGGAAAGGGAATTAACTGCTTAGCAACCACGTGCTTACTTTTTGGTATTTCATATTGAGTTTTACTATCATTGTAAATATTTATGATTTATAATCATTTAAAAAAATTGTAAACTATGATGTATACATTTTTTTTACAATTAAAAATTTAAACAATTTTATGAACCCTAAATTGCCTTTAATCATTGTACTTATTTGAAGAATATATTGTTAAAAAATATAACTCTTTTATATAAAATTATACATTTTATAAAATATATGAATGGTTACAATGGTAAATTATTGTATTTTTCGATCCACATTGACTACTAAATTTCGAAAGAGCAACGAAGAGTGAGCTTTTAGTGTAATTTTCTGCTTGTTGACGCAATTAGTAAGGCGGAGAATTAATCAAACGCTGGTACTCGAGAATAATAATGGACGCTAACCCATACGGATTCAGATTCGGATTCGGATTCAGATACCGGCTGGCGTTGTCAGACATCGTGCTCAACAAAAATAGACAGGGCATACATTTGGGCTTGCGTCCGCGATGAGAAGCGATGGCTGGTGGCCAATTGAATCGAGGCAGATCGCAGATCTCAGACCAAGAACAATGCGCATTCTTCATTGTTCGTTCAATTGGGTAACGTGCTCTAGCTAATTTTGCATTCGGTACAACATAAACCCATAAAAATATGAATCAGTCCGGTGTCCACAAAAAGAAGCCAAGGATTCGGAATCGCCAGAGGAACAAGATCAACCAGGTGCATCAAGAGCAAGAGGAAGCCGCAGAAAAAAATGTGGAGCAAGTGGAAATGGTTGCCAAAAGTGATGACTCCCAAGGGGAAACTCCCCTCAAAAGTGAACCACCTCCGGTGAAAAATCCCACAAAAAGTGGAATCTCTTTAATGGAAGCGTTATTTAATAATGGGCCGGTGGAAAACCCACAAGAGAATGATACCATTAGGCTTATACAGGAACTGTTACGTAGAAAATTATTGGCCAAAAATAATGCAGCAACAACTAGCAAAGCAGAGCCGCTTGTTCCTGTCCAAGCCAAAATAGTTAGCCCACCAAAGGAAATTAAAATTGAAAAAGAAAAACCAAAGATTTCCAGTGCATTTGAAAATCAAAAAGGGCCGGTAGAACCCAAGACAATCGGAAAACCATCAAGGGATGTGAAAGCTGATGAAATGGATGAGTTGCTCAAATGCTTGGGCAGCAAATTACCAAAAGGTTAGTGGAGTTCATTTATAAACCAATTATTTCGAGAATATAATAATTTAACGAAACAAACTTAGGTTCTGGAGAATCCCCAGCTGCCGCGCTATTCAGCAATCTGGGCAAGCTATTCAGCCAAGCGCCTCCAAGCGATGTGGAGTCATCCGACGAAGAGGCGGAGGAGTATGTGGAGTACATCTATAAGCCAAGACAATACTTCATGGCCTCATTGTGCAATGTAGGTGGTACTCTTGATTAACTTAATAGTAGTAATTAACACCTAGCAGTTTATTTTATTTTTATTTAAAGTTTAAACGACAGTCCCTCTATTTTGGAAAGTAATTTATTTTTTTGTTTTATAGTTTCTTATTAGATTATCAAAGATTCAGATGAACTGTTCATCCAATTGCTAAATATACATAAATATTTATTTTCTTGTCTTTAAACGATAAAAATTGTACTCATAAAATTTAAATCAAAGGATCTGCAGGATTGGTTTATAGATCTTTAAAAACTGGTAATAATTCTGTGTGTCAAATCCATAAATTAAAAAAATTGTTATTAGGCCTTTATCAAATTTTTATTATGTCACAAATATATAGGAAAGTTTAAGTTTTTAAAATTTTTGTTTTTTACTGGCATTAATATTTTAATCTCAATAAATTAATTATTCTCTATATCAAACAGTTCTGCAAGGCGGATTTGTGTGGCCAAAATCGGATACCCTGTTCCCGCTGCGGACTGAGCTACTACTGCAGTGCTGGCCACATGAAAGACGACCAGGAACACCGGCAACTGTGCTATGCAATTCGCCAAACGGTGGATCGCAATGGTGAGAGCCTGTCAGCGAACCATAAATCACACTAATTGCCAATTTTCGGTGAGCAAATGCAGGTCACGATATGTTCTACAAGTGCGGCGACTTCAGTGGCGAGCAGTTCCGTTCCTACCGGATAGTGTGCATTCGCCAGGTGGAGAAGGAGATGAATCGCCAGCTCTCGGCAACGGAACAGGAGTTGCTCCTCTTTCCCATGATCTGTGGTGAATCCAAGTGCCGGGAGCACCGCTTCAAGCGTTTGTCCTTTTGCGGCGGATGTGGCGAGTTGGCCTTCTGCAAGGATAAACCGGAGCATTGCAGCAAGGAGCATGCTAAGTGGTGCGGAGCCTACCAACTGTTCAAGGCTTTCATCATGTTTCAGGCGAACTTCGGTCGGCTGGACCCATCACTGCCTAATAAGGTCCTCAGAGAGCTGCCCATGGCTTGCTCCAACACCAAAAGCATTATGAAGAAGCTGAATTTCAGTAAGAATTTGCACTCAGAAAAAAATATACAGTATCACATAAATCGCTTAGACCTGAATTTAGATAGAATTAATATTAATATACGTAAGAAGTCCGGCATAATTCAGCGCTAAGCGATTTAAGATTATTGAATATTATTCAAGATAAGTCTGTGGATCTCAAAAGGCTGTCAATGAGCCTGAACCATTTCATAGTAATTTTCCGTAATACCGATCTGAATCAGATTTACAGATTTATACCAAGCAAATAGGTCTGTTATAAATTACTATTTAAGACATTTTTTATAATTTGCAGAATTTGGAAAGAATTCTTTTGAAAACGACCCATAATTTCCGGAGAGAAACATTACTTCCGTCTAATTTAAATAAACTAGTCATAATCTACAAACTTAAAAGCTTTTATTTAAATTTCTTTAAAAAATTATTCCAGTACACTAGTAGTTTTAAAATATTCTATATGATCGGTATAACGAGCCTTAAAGCATTGTAGAATATTTGCAGACAATGGTTGGATTTATAGTTTCTTTAGTTTCCAAAAACCTTTTAACTGTTTAATAAATTTTGCTAATTTCCAACAGATGTCACAAATGAGTGCGAGTACGCAGCACTTACTCAGGTGTCCACAGGACCTTTAACAGCCTGGTTTGCTCTAAAACTCTGTGAGCGTCTAAGGAATTGTGAGGAGTTGACTCTTCATTTGATTGGAGCCGAGATCGAATTTGAAGTGGATATGCTACAAAAATGGGAACTATTTCTTCTTCACATAATGCCAACTGTAAAAATCCTAAATGTGGTTTTTATTGGACCCGAACTGAATCCCAATAATATATCCTTTGAGCAGCTAAAGAAAATCAAGTAAGAAACGATTCACTTTTTTTTTGGAAGTTTTGAGATACACATATTTGAATTTACAGGTGCTGTCGCTTGTGCAGAAAAGCTAAGAGAACAGTAAATTATCATTTCGAGAATGCTTTGTACCACGATTACTGCAAGGAACCGCATTTTCTTCAGCCGAATTTGGGTAAGTTTTATTGTTTTTTTTTTAAACTTAATCTTTGTATTAATTACTGTATTCTTTCAGTTTGCTTCTTTAACTCTGGTCTATACCGGTCAACGGGATATGCCCTCGAGGATACTTGGCCAGATACTATTCAAGCTACACTTAATCTCAATTGTCCTATTGTAGTAACCTCATATACAAAGTACGAGGCTCCTCTGGATATGGCGCACTTTATCAACCAATCGAATCGTCATTTAAATGTCGTATTGCCACCGACAACAAATCCATTTTCTTCTGAGAAGCCAGAACGTAATTTTATATCCGATAACGAAGCTCCTTTTATGTTCAAGAACTTCTATTGCTTTGTTGTTGAGTGAATAATTGGAAGTGAGAAAAGACTGTTTATTTTGAACTTATAAATAAAGACACAAGTTTAAATAAATTTTGATGTGTGTGAAAGAAAAAGCGCCAGTTTTAAAAAGTTCAAAATTGAACCCCTCTGTTCCAAAACTTTTTGAAAACCTAAAAAACCTTAAAAACAAGCAGTATAATAAATAGCAAGAAAAAGGTTAGGGTCCGTTTTCTTGTCCGCATGTTAAATTTAAAGTAGGCTCTAATCTCTAAATTCCCATACATGCTAGCGAGACAACGGCCCTTTGGATTTACATATTGAACACTCAAATCTTTAATACTTCATTACTTTTGTGGCTTTATTTAAGAAGGTATTGCTCATCGTAAGCGTTATGACGCATTGTTAGCAGCGACAGCGACAGGAAACCACTTTGTTATCAGCTAACAAATCTTTACAGTAACCACTGGATAAATAAACAGAAAAAATTACCAAAACTTAGGCAAAAAAAAAATAAAATAATTTGGCTAAATTAATCGGAGTGACAGATTGTTTTTAGGAATACGGATGTTCGAGGGAGTATTTACTGTACAAACTCAAGTGACATAAGATTGAAGAGTTCCGTAAGTGGGCGGCTTTGGGTGGGAGTGTGACGTTGTGGAGAGGAGTCGAACGTTTCCCGTTCAACAAAGAAGCCCCAATTACAATGAAACCACTAGGTTCTTAATTCCGCGGTGAGCTTTCGGGAGGAATAAGAGAAGAGTCGTGCCACCGATCTTTGTAGTCCCATGAGGCATGTATCTTATATAGCTGCTGTTTCTTTTTTTTTAGCGCTATAACTGTGTTACAAACGGCGATGAGAGAATCTCAGTGCATTCTACAACCGCAAGAAGAGAACTAAAGTTCTTGGGCTTTAAGTGTGAGCGTTTGTTTGTGTCGACACTCGTAATTACAATTGGGGTCAACAAAATAATAATTACAGTTTTAAAGTATGTTATTCGCTTCTTCATATGTGTTTTATTTTACTAATTAAAAAAAAATAAGTTTCAGAAAAAAGTAATATGGCTAAATGGATTAGAATATTGCGGTTTTATAAATATTGCGTAGCCGACAAGTTGACCAGCCTCTTTAAAAGTCAGTCCAAAATTAATGTGCAATTATTTTTTCTTTATATATTAAATCTATTAAATTTATAAAACCATTGAAAGACTTTCTCAAGCAGGTAAATATTTCTGCTTTGGTTTAAACGTTTGTTCATATAAGTTAACATAAAATAAGCGTGGGGTTCATTCTTAAATATAAACAAAAGCAAAGCCAAAATTGTTTATCTGCGTTGCTATAATTTTACCCACTGCTGTGGGTGTGAGCGCGCGAATGTATGTCGGCATTATGATTGTACGCTTATTATTATGGCCGCATACGAAGTAATTTCCAAGTTAACTTTTCAGTTGAGCGCTGGAACAGCTGAAGAACGCGAGCGTCCAGATCGGATCGCCGTCTGATTCTCGTTCTTATACTCGATTTAAGTCGTTAATTGTCGCGCTAAGTGCTCCGCTTTTAAGTTCTGACCCCAAACACTTGTTGACATCTCAACATCGCGAGTTGGGTAATGCTGTGAAACTCATCAGTTTAGATGATCGAGTTCGTGTTTCTTGACTGGAATGTCGATTTCCAAAGTGCATCTTTGTATTTAGCCAGTGATTTCAAGATAGTTAGCTATACTTACTATCTTTTACATATATTTATGAGATTGCTGCTGTCGCGTATCTAATTCCAACGGTCACGATTACTTATTGGGAGCGTTGAAGAGTGAGCTTTCCAGAGCTAAAACTTTCCAGTGAACAGCTGTTTGGGAGCTTTGGGGTTTATTTTCCCCATCTCCGAGAGCACTGCACTTTGCAGAGAGTGAGAGCGAGAGAGCGAAATAGAGCGGGAGTGGGGCAGGTTTTATCAGCTTGAAGTACGATTCATAGATAAGAAAAAGTCGGCGGCGGGTGTCAAGTCATTTACACAATTTATCGCTTCTTCGCTTTGCGCAATCGAATGGAAAAACGGAGTGCACTGCATTCCGGATTGGAGTAGAAACCGGAGCACACGGATCATCATCATGAATAAACTAAGGGCCCTATTGCCCGGTCAACACTCGACGAATGGAGCCTCCCGTCATTCCGTAACTCTGGAAGCGGAGATCGGATTCCAGATCACAATCGACAATCCAAAAAACAGTGATCAGAACAAGGGCTCTGCTGCAATACCAGAGCTCAACGTCCACCTCATCGCCGCCCGACATCTGCCCTCTCTGTTCGGCTTCAAGATCGTTCAGGGCTATTTGATAAAGGTAAATTAGTGCTAATTGGTCATGATATGAGGCATACTTGCGAAAATAGCGTAAGATAAAAGCACTCAAATTGACGGAAAGGGAAAAGTTGGTTTGTTTGTTTCTCCAGTAAGTTCCAAATACTATTTTAGAAAATATATATTTTCTTGTGACTTTATAATTAAAACCAATCTGTCTTTTAAAGGGATTCACTACTATTCACCTACTTTTATTTGTAGGTATGATATATTCTATTATTCATTATCAGATATGAATACATCTTAAATGAATACGAAAATATCTATTTGCTTAACAAATAGTTGGACTGGCAATCGTATACTTTTTAAAGAAATAATCAATCAAGATCAAATGTATTAAGACAAATATTTACAGAATAAGTTGCAGTTTATTTATTAAACACATAAATTTTTAGCGCCGTGACCATACATATTTTCAACGGCCCTGAAAACATACTATAATTTATTTATTTATCTAGAAATAATCTATTTATGATTTCTCCCCTCACTCATTAAAGGTGAAGCTATTTCCCGGATCGAAACGCTTGGACAGCAGTATTCAGACAAACACGTGGCCCAAGTTCAATGAAAATTTCAAGTTTCCCCTGGTGCCAGATATCAAGTATGTGTAATGTGAGGAAAAGTTCAAAGAATTGAAGTACTATTATTCGAAATGCTATTTGAATAGATCCTCTATGAAGCATGTAACGCGACGATCCGCAAATGGTCAAGCAAATAACCCAGATCCGGAACCAGAACAGCTCTTCTCCGGACAGTTTGTGGTCTTTACGGTCTACGCTCTGTTGGAACTTCCGGCAACAGTAAGTTGGTCGCGCAAACCTTTTTAACGTGGATTAAATTCCTTTCTTACCAGAATTTCAATCGCTTTAATAAGACATACCGCTCGCTGAAGGACAGGAGTACCAGCTTTGTCCAACGATTCGTCGATCCAACAGCAAGTGCTCCAAATGAGGCCAAGACTGAAGCTGGAGGAAAGCCCAATGATCAGGGTAAAGTAAAGAAAAAGTCTGACAGCTCCGCAAGGGATGCAATGCCACCGCTGACTATAAGTGAATCGCGAAGAAATATAGGTAATACTCTGTTATAATCGTCAATATAACCTTACTATATATTTTTATTTTAATCATCATAATTTAAAACTTAAGATGAAATTTCGAAAACTTACAATTTTATCAGGTGTTTGTTAATATTATTTTAAAGTTCTAAAAAAATATTAAAAAACTATAAAATTGCATTTAAAATCTGATTAAATCAATGGTATTTGAAATTATGATAGAAGGTTTAATATCTTTTCTAAAGTATCAGCATCTTTTCGCCCCAGGTTCCGTCACCTGCTACCTGGAATCCAAGCTCTTTCAACGCAACAGCCGAACGGGGTGTTATTCGTCGGAAGAGTTGTGGCTGCCTATAAAAGATATCACCACAACGGTGGCCAAGTCGTCGCCCAGCAACAACAATGTGAGTAGGAAAGACATATGAACATATGTACCTGACCCAGAGTATTGCTAAACAAGTTCACCCGAACTTGGTGTTACAAAATATAATGCGACATGGGGCTCCGAGTGTTTTCAAATGTAATGGAGATGTGTGCGCTTTAATTGTACAAAGTGAAAGCTTCCCGCTTGGGCGGGAAAACACAACAACACAGGCGCTACAAATTTAAATGAAAGCAAATTTTTTAATTGCAACCAAAAAGCAAAAAAAAATATTAATGTGCAAGTTGAGTCAATATCATTCCGGAAAAAATTAATTGAAAGTCAACCCTCGTGCATTTTCCCCTTACCTAATGTCACTGAAATAGGGTTGCGATATCTGTAGAATTTATATGTTTGAACTAATTTACAGTATGGGTCAATTCAACATTTATCTTATCATGCCAATGCGATTTCGATTTGTTGACATGCCTTAGGAAACTATAGGTTTTTAAGCCAAAATGGGAAGCATATCGAGTCCTAACCGTCAGCATAAAGTAAACAACATTTGGCTTACGAAATCCAATTAATGATAAAAAATTACTGGCCGTAAAAGCTGCAATTATAAGATAAAAGTTAGTGCAGTTTTTTATAGAACAAATTTTGGGATTTTTGAAATCCTGAAAGTTTAAAAAACGTGTTAGTACAAGGAAAAAATTTACAAAAGTTTTAATACTAATAATAAATTGAAATATTGTTATTTTTTATAGGTATTTAATATTTATTACTAATAAATTATTAGTTCTTATTGATCTTAATTCCTATTAATATCTTGAACAGGGAAACATCAATATTTCATCTTTGGCATTTTAGTTCCAAAAGTATTGTTTCCAAATAAACTAATAATAATGATATGGTTCTTTCTAATAGGAATTTAATATTTATTACTTTCTATTGATCGACATTTCTATTAATATCTTTTTAGTTTGTTAACTCCACCAAGGGCGTGGTTGAGCTGGCCCTTGAGGTTCGCGATCTGCTGGAATGCGAGTCACCGGTGGAGACTTCGATGCCCCCGCCAACGCCCTCGAACACGCCCACTACGCCGACACCCCCTTCCACCCACTCGGCCAACAATTGGCAACGGATGACCGCAGAAGTGAAGCGGAAGATGGGCATCAGCAATGCCGGAAGCTCGGACTCGGGAAGATACCTGCTCCGGGTGACCACCACGCGGATGCGCTGCTCCAACAAGGTCAAGGACGAACTGGAGGCCACTGCGAGCTCGGGGGTGTATGTGAAGACCACGGCCTTCGAGCACGGCATCTACATTGATGCCTGGAAGTCGCCCATCTTCTTTCCCTCGCTCTCCACCAAATGGGACGATGGCTCCGGCGAGGGAATGATCGATATTCCGCTCCAGAGACTCGATCAGTTGGAGGACATAGTCCTTCGAATTACACTGGCCACCAAGAAGATGGGCAAGAAACTGGTCCTCGGCACGGTTATCATTGGCGGCGATCAGGCGGGAGATACGGGTTCCGAGCAGATGCGCCTCATCCGGGAATCCCCGCCAGGTCAAAGGGTCGCCGCCTGGCACTGTTACCACTGAAATCGAACTCAAAGCTGTACTCCAAGCTGCAATGTAAATAATAGCAAAAAAGTAAAACTTTAGATAATTCCTATCAAAATTCCTTTGTGCGTCTGGACGTACTCATAATGTACTTGCATTTCGATCGTTAAAAGTATTAAATTTAATTGCGAATTGTAAAATGCTTCTTTGGGAAAGTTTGGCTCATTTCAACGTCCATGGCGTGTAACACTTGGTTTACTGCCCACGCTGTAATGGGAGTAGCCTAACAGAGGAAAAATTAAACTTACTTTAGAAATTAAAAAAAAATCAAAAGGGAAATTAAACAAATTCTATATATTGATTTAAAATGTGTCATAGCAAATTGTTGATAAGTGCTGCTTTCCAGCCTCGTAATATAAAATTATATTAGGTTTTCAGTTCTTAAGAATAGTTTTAGAGACATTAATTCTTTTTTTATAATGCCCTTAGATTTATTTTAGTATTTTGATTTTAAGCTGCGCTTTATTTGTATTTTATACTTTATTTCAAACATGTTTCTGATAAGAGGGTTTTTAAGTAGTATTTGAAAATCCTGGGTTTCTTAGGCCTCGATTTTCCCCCAGTGTACTAGCACCTTCGCTTTATTGGCATTTCGCAGAAATATTGCCAGCATTTGTGCGTCTGCCTGGGATTTTCGCACCCATCCGTACGTTTTTCACCCGGTTTCAGTCCACTGTGCACGGCCAACATGTGTGTGGAAAAGTCAACGGCAAACCAAACGCGACGTTTTTCAGCTCGCCGCGGAGCGTTGGCGTTTTGTATTCGCTCAGAGTCTCAGTTCTCGAGAAGACGTCGGTTGGATCGGATCGGATCTGAACGGTACGGAACGGAAAAGATAGGAGCGTTGTTTACGTTGCCATCGCGCAGTGGAGTTTGCGAGGCGACATCCGACGTGGTTAATGCTTCTGTGCGTCTGGTTCTCCAATGTAAAAATAAAATTGCTCCAATATGTGTGCGCGAAACGGCTTTTGAAAGATTTTCGAAAAAACCCCGATCGATTTGGAAGTGCGAACCAGGTAATCGTTGAGTAAATTTACGCTAAACGGTTGACAGTTCAATATTGAAGTCATTAAAGCCGAACAAATGGGCCTGTTTTTATCCGTGTTTATATGCAAAGTGCGTCGGTTTATGTCGATTGTGGATCGGTTCTCCCCGAAATGCTCACAAAGTCGCTAATCGAAGTGCAGCTGAAGGAGACATGGTGCCAAGTGATAAATGGAATAAAAAATGTTTCATTCATGAAAACAATCCGCGTTCACATAGGCACCCAAGAACGCAGATGTATTTGGATCTGCACGCATGCTATTTTACAGATGCAGTCAAAATAATAGCACTACGGTGCATAAAAGTCGCGATATATCTTCACCATCAAAATACAAATTTTCAGTAAAAGGATAATTCCAATAGCATTTTAACTAATTATGCTTTGGTCAACATTAATCTCTTTGGGGTCGTTTAGATTCCAAGAAAAAATGTTGTGGTTGAAATATTTGGCAGTCTTGGAAATAAATTATTTTTATGAGATTTTAGAATTGGAATGTTTTTGGAACTTGAAAAAAGGGGAGAATTTAAAACATGTTTAAAAATAGAAATCAGTCTAGATAGTTTAATACAAACCATCGTTTATGATTCAGATTCTTTAAATTAAAAAGTTTTAAGTTTTTGAAGAAGTAGAAAAACATCGATATGAATCATTGGAATCTATTGGAATTTCCGGCACCTAAAAATAAAAAAAATTGTTTGCCTATCCGTATTTAATCTGCATGTTTGCAATGCTATTACTTTGACCCCATCTGTCGGTGCATATGTGTTTAAAATGCATTTAATTCATCTGTGGAAAATTGGGTGCTCTGGTGGTGCGGTGGGGAAGTGGATGCATATCCATGGAGGCGTGGATGTGGATGCGGTGCCCGGATGATCGGATGCTGGGTGTCTAGGGATGCTTTGAGATGTGGGGTGTTGGAGGAGGCAGCTCGTCGGCTTCTTTGCGATGCCATCAAAATGTCGATGAATTGTGCATTGGTGCCCCAGTGTGCGTGGATGCGAAGCATGATTTATTTCCAACACTTCCGCTAATACTCAAATGTGGCCGACGATGTCGCACAACGAATTTAATGCGTAGCCGATTACAAAAGGCTGACTAATAAATTAAGCCAACCAGAATCCGTAGACAATGCCCAAATGCCCAGTACTGCCCACGAGAACTGCCCACTTAGTCGGCAGATAAATAGGAAAAACAAAGCCCAAACGACAGCCGACCCGAAGGCAGCGATTGGGTTTTTTAGTAGCTGGTCACGTCATTAAAATTGCATTTGGTTAAACGAGCCCGCGGACATGCAACACATCACAGTCACACACACACAAGGACAGTTGATTGGCCATACCAGACATTGTGGCTAGCCGGCCAAGAAGCCAAAATAAAATAAATCAGGCAATTGCACTGAAAGAAATTTCATTTTAATTTGGCTATAAAGAAAATATTATAAACCAGTTATAAAGTTCTCTTATCTAAATGTACCTGACCTCCCGCTTATTTAAATATAATCTACTAAACTTATAAAAAAAATTGTTATCTTCTTTTCAGATAAAGTAACCTTTAAATATTTATCAAAACAGCTTTAGATATTAAACCAAGGAAATGCTTAACTTAATTATGTTGTTAGTTAAGCACATAACTTCAATGATATTATTTTTAATTTTTTCCTTTTGTTTCGCGATATTATTTACTTACTAAAATACAGATAAATTATATGTTATCCAGTTCCAATTAAATTGAACTTTCACGCAGCTTTGACTTATATATTTATTTATTAATTCTTACCTTTATTTTTTTCTAAATATTTGATTTTAAGTATTTTCAAAATATAGTTAAATACATTTTTTTTTAATCAACCACTTAAAAGATAATAATTTTTGTCTGTGCAGGGAACTCTGGTCTCGATAAGCGGCTGGCCAAATCCAAATTTGTACATTTTCATTCATAAAAAATCGCGGCGGTCTACGCAGCGGCAATTTAAGACCAAATAAAAAGTGGGAAAAATAGTTCGACCACATGCAGAGCGTTCGTGGGCAGTGGGCGGTGGGTGGGCGAGCCACCTTATTTGCGGAACTGGTAAACACATCTATTATCCATGAGTGCCCCCTTACTCACCTGAAGGAATTTAATAAACCGGTCACTGGATACTCTGATATTTATGACTTTTGAATTGGTACTTATTTTAAACTTTTGCTATTTATGATATGCGTACTTATGACGCTGACTCGACGACCCCGTCATAGTTGATTTTTAATCGCACTTTGTCAAGGTGAAGCGGTTGGGGGGCGTGGGCGGTGGGCGGTGGTTGGCGGTTGGTGGGGCAGAGTCTGGGGCAACTACTGCGGTTTGTTTACACGGAACGGAACGGAGGGAACAGAACGAATCCGGAGACGGAGGTTGTGATTGTTGCTGCTCTGTTTGCTATGCGGACGCATCGCATTCTAAATTAAGACGCAGCGTCGCCCGAAGTACGCACAAATGTACATAAATATTTTGTTTGAACGCTGGGGTGGACAGTTTTGTGGTTTTCCAAACTGATCATCAGCAAAAATAAAAATTTTTAATTTTAATGTTTATTTTGGGTTATATTACCCCTTTGGCACAGCTAGATCGTGCAAAAATTGGGGAAATATGAAACTTTGAACCAATTTATCGCCAGACAGAAATAATTAAAAAATGTGTAAGCAAACAAAACGGAGGATGTTTTCAGTTTTTTTTTGCAAATAAAGGAAGCATATTTGAGATAATGATGCTGTACAAGATTTTTTAGAAGGGATCAAAAAATACAAACTTTATTTGAAATTGTATAAATATTTTAAAAATTGTATTATTATATTTAAAATCAGGTTAGGTATTTAACTTTTAATTCCATTATAATTTAAATTTTATGGCTTATATGGCTGTACAGGATTTTTAAAAAGCCTTTAAAAAAAAATTGTATTATTATATTTAAAATCAGGTTAGCTATTCAACTTTTAATTCCATTATAATTCTAAATCTCAACCTTATGGGTTTTCATATCAAGAACTTGGCTCCCTTCAAACATAGTTTGGGGAAATCGAGTATAAATCATTTTTGTTTACGTCACATACATAGATTTGGTGGGGAAATGTCCGACTCAATGTATAAATCATGTGTCGTCAGGTGTGTTAAAATAGTTCCTAGTGGTTTGTTTGTTGTGGAATTTTATTTCCATCAAACCGGCGAAAACACTCTTCACGCATCGCGAGTTACTCAATATTGGATGCTTATAAAGATTGAATATATATCCGGATGTTTGTTTAGTGGGCGCTGTGTATTCACATTGTAAATAAATCACAACGGGTGATTGGTACACCCGGGAATTGGGTTCAGTGTTTGGTTTCGCTTTATTGTAATTTAGCGCGGAATATAAATGGCCAATTTGCGGATACCTGGTCAGGATGGCCATATCGAATTTGGTCATTTGGAATAACCAGAATTGCGAATGTGGGAGAGAGGATCGTGTGCGATTGCAACTGGTAGCTTGTTCCGGCGCATCTGACCTTATATGTTGGGTAGTTGGGGTATAATCTGGGTATCTGAGTATCTCAGTATCTGGCCAAGATCCCACGTTGACGCAAGTCCAAAGTACACGTACTTGTGCTCCATTGCCCGGTCCTCGTCTTTCTCTGGGTCTACTTAAAATTCCGCGCTGCAGTTCGACAAAAATAAGAATGAGACCAGACCTTTCATCCATACCCACTTATGCAGGGGCATAGCATCAAAAGCACTCGGCATCCCGACAAAAACCACATAGTTTATCTTTATGTTTCCAATTTTCGTTCTCCCAGTGCGCGCTCCTCTGTTTGTAATTACATGTACGGGTATGTAGCTAATTAATTTCACTTTTTTCCTCTCGATTTTTGTTTTTTTTTTTTAGCTTTTTGCCCACGCTTTTGATCGCTTTGGGCTAAGGTCTCAGACAAGTTCAAATATTTGCTTTGTAGTTGGCAAAAGGCGGCCGCAGAGATAGGGAGTCGGGAGAACGAACCGATTCACCAGATTCACTAGATTCACTAGATTCCCTAGACTCATCAGATCACTAGGCATATACCATCATCATCATCATCGGCATTGGCATCGTTTAATTGTGCAGTGCGTGGGGGGCACTCTTTATGTTTTTGGATGATTTTACTTTGACGCAAATGAGTCGCTTAGTCAGGGTAAATTAGCCACTCAAAAGCATAATACAAGTACAGGTTCAAGTACGCCTGCTGTTTGTTTGTAGGTGTATTATATAATTTAATTGGGCCAAAGCAGGGTGAAGAGGAATTTTTATGGCTGCCATGTTGGGCAATCCTCTCGGGTGGGCATCGTTTTCGTAACGGGATACTTTTCAAGTTTAGCATTTTCGGTAAATGAAAAATCTTTAAATAGTATAAATAGATGTTTTTGATTCTTTTTCGGATATGAGTCCTAATCTTATAAGTATAGATTTATTTTATTTTTTTACCACAATAAACTTAAACATTTTTTTTGCTCTTTAAGAAAAATAATTATTCTATTTTAAAAGGTACAGGTATTTACTAAAAAATGTGTTAACAAATTTTAAAAATTTTAAAATTTAATTCAAAATTAAGCAATATTTATTGGCACTAGATAAAAAGCCTGCAAATCTCATCTTTATAAAATAATAATACATATTATAAATAATATTCATGAAAATATTAATATATTGACAAATTTGAATAGAAATTGGACGCGACTCTCCCGATTATGAGGTCTTAAGAGTCTTTCAAGCTTAATTTGTTTTCGAATTTCAAATTTCAAAGAGTTCAAGGTTAAGTTCAAACCGACTTTCGGCTTCTGGAACACCCAAATACATACCAAATCCAATCATTCCACTTACCCCACATTTTATTTCTATTTACAGTGCATTTGTCAGGGTCTTTGGATTCACGGATTCGTTACGCTGGTATTACCGATCGGTTTTCGAACGACAACGATATACCATAAGGCAATTGAGCATGAAAGTGGTGTGCTTGATTTTCGAATTCCTGACGGTGGTACAACTGCTGGTCGAAGCTCAGGTGAGTGTACAGAGTGTATGGATCGATCGCCCACCCACTTGTCGAAGCCGCATTACGTCAACCCGAAGCAATTCGATTGGGAACTGCGAACTATTTACGATTGCAAGGTCAATTACCGCAGCCAAATTAGTCGCACTCTCGTTTTTCCATTGTTGTGGGAGGGGGCACGAAATCGGCTCCGGAACGATATACTTAGTTCTCCTTGAGCTTGAGGTGCAGAGCAGTTCGTATTTCCGCATGATTTGATGGGAATGTTTCGGTTTTCCATTTCGGGATTTTCCGATTTAGCCATGACCTACGTTCGATTTCAAGTGAGGCATTTAATAGCGGCTGATTTATTGGCACCTCATTATGCCAATACGCTTTAAATCATCGATTGTGTTTGTGTATTTAATTCCACTAATTTCAGTTGTAAACATGATCGTTTAAATAAATCAGTTGTTCAATTTATTCAGTAATCGGCTGAAAGACAAATCTCTTGATTACTCAGAAAACCTGGTCTGTTAATAGCTTCCTGTTTTGGCAAAAAAGATTTTAACACAAAATCAGTTGATTAGGTGAAAGAATTTAGTGGCAGAATAAATGAACTATTTTGTTGTTGGATTAACAGGTTCGAGTACCGGTTATGGTTATGCCGCCCAGAATTTTAGAGCCAGTCATTGAACTAATAAAACTTTTCGGACCTGTCGTTAATTTCGAATCTCTTTCTAAGGTCAGATGGGCTTTAAAACTGACACCAGGCGAAGGGGTACTAAAATGGTCTCAATAAATTGTATGAAACAATTTCTAAGCCTCCATTCAGACTTTTTTATAGTGGGGCTAGAAAATAAAAACAACATGGTTTGAATATATAAATTCAAGCAATTTTAGAAGAGGAAAAGAAATGTTTTTCAAGATGAATATTAAATTTAATAACTAATGGTTTTTTGTAGTTTTGTATTTTTTCCATTAGTAAATAAATGTTTTTAGTTTTTTTTTCTTTTTAATTATGTTTTCAGTTTATTAGAATAGTAGTTTAGATTACTTAATAACTAATAGTTATCAGTGACTGACACGAATTACTTAATATGGACGTCAATCTTGAGTTCTCAAAAAATGTACTTAGATGCATTACATTTTATCTTCTATTTTGTAAAACGGGGCAACGCAGTCCAGTTTTATGGACTCTTGCAGCTGTAGGGCGTTGGTGAAGAGGTTATGGCAATCGGACGGCGGTCCTCGACAGACGTCGAAGCCTATTTTCGACTGGGACGGATGCAGGGATCCGCCGGATCGGATCGGTCGGCGAAAAGCGTGAGTTATTTATAGTGCGGCGTCGCGTCGCCTGGCGTCGCATTTGGAACTGGAGCTGGGACCGAAGTGTACATAATGGTATACCAGACTTTCCTTGGGGATCACAATGCGAACGCAGACACGAAACTGTCGAGAGCAATGACACTTCAAATAAAAAGCGGCGACATGTCTGATTTATAGTGGTTGGTTGACTGAGGCAGGAAAAGAGGAAAACAGGGAAGCTGGGCAGCGAATGTGGGACTCCTTGAGGCCGAGATGTCGTAGGGCGCAGATCGCATTTCACACTCTCGACCCCGTAAAAAGGGAAATCCAAAACCCGATCTCATACGTATTTCCCTATTATATCTTTCAGAGTGGACATGTGCAGGAGGCGAGAAGGGAGATATGGGACGCAATGGGTCACCATCGGCACCACCACAATCACCCGTATCACGGTTCACATTGGGTGGATGGACGGCGGGTGCATCGCCTTCGGATGCCACACCAACAACGATGGAGTGGGCGGCGGCGATCGCTCAATCACCACCAGCCCTTCAGCCGGTGGTCACAGTGGTCACCATGCGACGAGGAGTGCGTCAAGCGGCGGGAGCGATTCTGCAAGGTTAAGCGGAAGTGTGGCCACACCAAGCACGTGGAGCAAAGCAAGTGCCGGCAGTGAGTATGATTAATACAAAATAAATTTAAGGGAGAGCAAGGGAGATGGAGATATGCAAATAGCCAAGCGGCTAATAAAAAGCACGCCACCTACCGGCGATTCTATTATTTTCTCATTACCTTTTTTACGAAATCTTTTAATATTTAGGTGTTAAAATATATATATTCATAAGAAAATAAATACTAATTTTTTAAGGTGTTATTATTTTATAAGGCGTTACTTACTCAATTATAACTATTACACATATATTCTAGACAATAAATGCCATGGAAAAAAATTCCGAGCTTAAGCATTTTGATCGCGAATGAACACAAATGTTAGACTTTTAATAGTAAATTAATTCTGAAGTACGGTTTTAGCTGGCTTTTATAGAGTAGCAGAGATGAGATAAGAACTATGATAAGAAGATCTGATTCAGGGAAATTAGAAATGCAACTTTTTTCGACTTTGGTTTATATTTATTCTGATTAGGGATTTTAATTGCCCCGTTTCTTTATGATTTATAATAAATAATTTTTTCAGAAAATTAGCAGTTTTGAATAATCTGACTTCGATATTGATATCATAAATTAATCACATTTCTCATTTTGACATTATGCCAAAAAGAAATAAAGCATGGATCTTTTCTAAAAGTATTGTTGTTATTATAGCCTTAAAAGAAGTTTTCATCCAGATACCTTTTAAATCGACCTATAAATTTGCGTAGAGTAAGACGGACACGGCTAGATCGACTCAGCTGTTAATTTTGAACAAGTATCTATTTATCTATACAATGTACAATGTAGAGTTATTTTAAAATATATTTAGCACAAAGTATAGCGCAGAAGTACATGAACACTTACGAGTTTGGCTATTTTTAGCATTAGTTCTCACAAATATTGAGAATATTTTTTAGGCCATACTTATTTAGTTGGTTTATTCTTAAAGAGATCTAATTTGGGCAGCGCATTCTCTTTCATTGGCAAACATTTACCTGAAGTTAGTAGAATTTTAATTATGTTTGAAGAAAGAAGTTTTTTATATTATATGTACTTCCAACTTAACATGAGTCCATTTTCTCTTCTACAGTTGTCATCCGGCACCTACTATAAAGTGGCAACAGCCTTTAATTTTAGACGATAGCCACTTCCGCGAGAGGAACCCTCCACCTCCGCCTCCACAACCACAACCGCAGCCACAACCACATCCACCACCTCCACCGCCTCCATCAATAATAATAAATGCAGCAGCGGCTGCTTCAAGTGGACCGACCGTGGATTATCGATATACCGAGTACAAACCACCACCAATTTCTGCACCAACTTATCCACCAGTTTATGCACCAACCTATCCTCCACTTCATCCACCGACTCATCCTCCAACTCATCCTCCAACTCATCCGCCGACTCCTCCTTCGAAATCGGTTGAGATGGTTCGTCACCTGCCAAAATACCCCGGAAAAGATGTATATAGTGAGGAGGATGTGGAAGAAGAATCTGAACCTGACCCCGAACCCGAAGAAGATTTGATAAGCTCCGACGAACAGGGTGACTTCTTTGTACTCAAGCATCATCGTCACAGGAGACGGCAAAATAACCACAAAAAACCATCCCATAGAAAACCTCTAAACGAGGACTATGACGACGATGACTTCGTGGACTTTGGCGAAAGAAAGTCCCTAAGACCCAGAAATATGGGTGATGATAGTAGTGTGGAGGGTGATGTCTTCCAGTACGAGGACTTCGATTTGCCGGATCCTAACTACACGGACTCTGAGGAATCAGAGACCGAATTCCGTAACATCAGCTGGGTACAGCCGCCCAAAGATGGAATGGGTCTAAGGAGACGAAGGGTCTATTCCAAGTGGAGCCGATGGACCAAGTGCTCGCCAAAGTGTACAACACGGAGATATAAGTAAGTTGTAGCGGAAGAGTATACTCGAAAATCATATAAAACAATTTTCATATTTAAATTAAATTTTTGGATTATTAGGGTCGTTTTCTCGTCCGTTTGTTAAATTTGAAGTAGTGTTATAACCTTGAAATCGTACACAGAGAGAATTTTTCACGAACGTTGCACTCAAATTAAGAATTTTTACTCAAAATAAAACCAAGTACTCACTTTAAGTGCGAAATACCCAATTTCAGTACAATTTTTTTAAGTAATATACCTTGTAATTGAGTCTTTTCAGAGTTTTTTTTCTCCAAAAAGGGGACAAATAAGGGGGAAACGTCAAGGATAAAGTATTAGGCTTTTTTATCAAAATTTGACCACAAAATCAGTACTTCCTCAAATTGAGAATACAAATACTTAATTTGAGAACGTCAGTCCTCTTAAAAAATTCTCTCTGTGTATGGGAAATCATTGGGTAACCCTACATTAAATTTAAAAAACGGACGAGAAAACGGGCCTTAAAGTATCAGTTTATTTTCATAATTTCTTGTTGTCTGAACCAAGAGATTTTTCCAAATAATTGCCATTAATGATTTTTAAATTTTCCGTAATTGTGCAAATGTTTACGTAACTTTCTCAGAAATCAAAGAGACTTGTAGATCAAGGAGGAGAATTGGTTTTAAAAATTCTATTGAAAAACCATACTAAAATCTTGCAATTCTTTCAGAAAATGCCGGATCAATGATCAGTGTGGACGGGAGGTACTCCGTGAGATTGCCTACTGCTACACGGAGGGCAGTTTCTGCCAGCAGTGGCTGCAGACGCAGTTCCAGAAAACACCCGCCTTCGAGACCAGACCGGGATCCGGGTCACCGGCCAGCGCCATGAGGAGGATGCAGTCCGAGCAGCCGGAAGTGTCCATGAATGACCTGAACTACATAATGACCGGAAAGGGTTATCGCGGACCCGAGTACACACCTCTCAAGCTGAACTGCGGCATTGTACGCAGCGGAACTGGACGCAGGAGCATGTCCAACATGCTGAAGATCATCGGAGGTCGGGCGGCGAGGAAGGGCGAATGGCCATGGCAGGTGGCCATCCTGAATCGCTTCAAGGAAGCTTTCTGCGGCGGCACTCTTATTGCTCCGCGTTGGGTTCTAACCGCCGCCCATTGTGTAAGGAAGGTGCTCTATGTTCGCATAGGTGAGATCATAAAACGCCCCTTATAGCGATTAGAAAGTTTTATATATTTCCCTGTTCCCACAGGTGAACATAACCTAAACTATGAGGATGGTACAGAGGTGCAACTTCGGGTAATGAAGAGTTATACACATCCCAACTTCGATAAGCGAACGGTGGATAGCGATGTGGCATTGCTCAGGTGGGTCCATTCTACACCAAAAAAAAAATTTTTATTAATTAAGATCAATTTTAATTTGATATGCGGCCAGGTAAATTTGATCTGATCGAAAAGAGTATAACATATCGTTTTTACATGAAATACTCGTTTTTGCATGATCTGAAATTTGCGTGGCCATATCGATTTTACAGGAACATGCTTTTTTTGATTTGATGTCCTTAAAAGTACCAAGATCTGACCAAGATTATATTTTCCCTGCAGGTTACCTAAGGCTGTTAATGCCACCACTTGGATTGGATACTCCTGCCTGCCGCAGCCTTTCCAGGCGCTACCCAAGAACGTGGATTGCACAATTATTGGATGGGGAAAGCGTCGCAATCGGGATGCCACTGGGACCAGTGTGCTTCACAAGGCCACCGTTCCCATTATTCCAATGCAGAATTGCCGCAAGGTTTACTATGACTACACTATTACTAAGGTACTAGTTAAAGGATATTTTATTTTTTATCTCAGTAATCTATTAATGAATTCTACCCTACAGAACATGTTTTGTGCGGGTCATCAGAAGGGTCACATCGACACTTGTGCCGGAGATTCTGGCGGTCCTCTCCTTTGTCGGGATACCACCAAACCCAACCATCCGTGGACCATCTTTGGCATCACCTCGTTCGGCGATGGATGCGCCCAGCGAAATAAATTTGGCATCTACGCCAAGGTTCCCAACTACGTGGACTGGGTGTGGTCGGTTGTTAACTGCAATGGCAACTGCAAGATGCAGTAGCATCTCGGCGGGTACTTAGAAGTCGCGGACTTATGTCCGTCACGTTTGCAGAGGCTGTGAAAAACTAATTTACACTTTAAGTGTCCGATCCGTGGAAGAAATCTTCGCTAGATCACCCTGTCACAATTCATTATGTGCTCATTTTACGATCCTAAAGCTAGTTAACTAGAAGTTAAAAGGAACAAAGTCGATTGTAAATGTAGACAACCAAATATTTATGTAATTAAACCCCTAAAAAAGCACCTACTAATTAAAAGGCTTAATCTTGCTTATACTTTTAACTCTCCTAATGTACATAACCGAACTCCCTATGTTTTATGTTTAAAAATTATAAATAATATCGAAAAATTCTTGTTTAAGATTAATATTATTAAAGGTTGTCTTAAGTGCAAACAGAAATCTGAGATGTCAGATTAAAGAGTAATCTAGAATCAAAATATCCCTGTCAATTCAAATTAACCTTTTTTATATAAAACTGACGACAATACGAAATTAATAGCCATATGAACTGTAAATAAAAATGTTCCAATCTGTTGATAAGCTTAATATCTAAATAATTAATTAAAAGGCCTAAAATTGTACTTTCAAACGATTAATACTCAAACAAAATCAATTAAATCCTATAAAATGGGCTTTAAGAAATCGAATAAAAAACTTAGCGAAGGACTCTTTCCTTATAGGCGTACCAAAGAATCACAGATATGTATATTACTTATTAGTTTATTATATTGGTGTTAAATGCTGCACAGTTTTGCTTCCACAATAAAACTATTTAACGTGATCCCTAAACACATTCTTTTTTTACTACTACGAGTACACAATGGATTATAAAAACAAACGATCACAATAGAGAGGTGAGTGCGCGGGCACACATGCAAATAATATATATATATATGTATAAAAAACATTTCGTATAAAGTGGTTTGGACATAGAATCAGCCTACCCATCGGCTAGGACATAGTGAAGGGCCACGGACGCCAGTAAAACCAGCAGGGCCACTGCAATTCCCACCATGTAGAGGCTGCGCGAAAGTTCTGGCTTTGGCATCGAGCTGGGCAAAATCCTTGAATCGTCTGTGCGATCGGCGCCTGCATTTCCGTTGGTGAAATTCGAGTCATCCGGCAGTCCTTCGGCCTCCACGGAAATCGTCTCTGGGTCCAGTTCCACGTCCAGGATCTGCTTGGCCTGGGCCACCACCACAGTGGGTGCTTCGCCACGGAATAGGTACTCCGAAAACTGAACCGTTGCTCCGATCGAAGTGCTCGGACCCTCCGAAGGCAGACTGAAGAACACCCGTCGCGGTGGCTCACTAATGTACAAGGCTTCGTTGGTCACATAGGGATCGGTGAGTCCATCGCAGTACACTTGAATGCGCGTGATCAGCGAACGCAGCACATCATCGCGCAGAAAGCGCTTCACATCCGCTATACTGTTCCGCGGGCTGCAGAAGACCTTTGTGGCAATAATGCCGCTCAGGTGCAGAGTGCCATTAAACTCGCGCACCTTGATGTCCGTCGGCTTGCTCAGCTGACACTTCATCGGCAGCACTATGCTCGCCCGAATGGGCTCACCGCCGCCGATGACTCCTTCCGACGCGAGTTGGGGCAGGGAGTCCGTGGTGTTGCTGGCTGCTGAGGCTGTGCCACCGCTCGCAGATGTCGGTTTCAGCTTGTCCACCTTGGCCTTTTTCTTTTTGATGTAGGCCTGCAGATCGATGGTATCCTCGACCACTTCGTTCTGCAGAAAGACCTCACTGGCCAGCAGATTCTTGCGCACCGACACTATAATGTTCTGAAACTGATCTTCGATGTTGACGCGGCGAGTTGAATCCAAAATGGGCAGCACGTCGTCCAAGTCGTAGCTGCACTCCAGCTGAATCCACTCGAAGGGCTTGTCCACAAACCTGTACTCCATGTTGGAGAAAGTTCCGCCGCTGTCGAAAAGAACACACAGTTTTAGTTTACATCAAAACCGAAGACGAAGTACAATCAAACTACCATATAAACATTAACAATCCTAAAGGTTAACTAACACATAAAATGCATTCCGAGAAATAAGAATAGTAAGGTCAACAAGGAAAGCAAAGGAAGTGATCAATTAACATCGAAAGGATAAAGTTATGAAAGTACATAGTTCTCAACATGTTAGTTACCATATGATGCATTTTATGTTTGCCGTAAAATACGTTTTTTTGCAATGTCTAGTTTTAAATTGTAAGCGATTCGTTTGGTGAAAGAAAGAATACACAGTGAGACCCGTATCTGCGATCAGGGATTACGACCCAATTACTCACTTTCCATAGCTGTAGTTCTTGCAGAGCACCTTTTTGTCGGCCAGCGAGTACGAGAGGAATACGAAATCAGTCTGTGCAATATCGGTGGTGTAAACGCCAAAGGAGCTGTTGCTTTTCAGGAGCAAGCTGAAAAGGGGGGAAAATAGTAGTTTAGGTTTGAAATTCGTTTTCTTAATTTATGCACTCACTCGTAGATGTCTGAAAACAGCTTTTTGGCATTCTTAAATTCGGGACTCTGCTCATTCACAACTTCGGATCTAACTGAAGACACAAAAATACCTGCAAAGAATAATGCAAATTAGTATTGCAAAATCAGTGGCCTCGATAATTAGATTAGGGGAGAAACAGAAAAACATTAGGATAGAGTTCGTATGTCATTCCTGAACATGCGAACTTTACATTAAAACTTAATTGGTGATAGGTCCAATAAGATGGTTTGGAATTATTTAAATGTATTCTAATATAGTAAATTCTTTCATTATTGTATTTTCAATAATGTTAATTTTAAATTTAGTTTTCATTATTAAATACATTTTCTAGTTTCCACAAAGTAGTCTTTAAATCCTGAACGTATGAGAACTAACAGTTTAAAGCCTACTTTAAATTTAAGATGCGGACGAGAAAACGGCCCTAAACCTTTTTAACCTTTCTATAACTAGAATCTATGCCATATTCCTTTAAGATCTATGAAAACGGGCCTTACGAACATGTTTTAAACCTTTCTATAACCAGAATGTATGTCATATTTCTTTAGGATCTATGATCCATTAGGTATGATATACCTATATTCTTAGATTATGCGATACTTATTTACAGATTCAATTAAAACCTAGTGAGTGACTTATACGAAATGGGTTTGCCATCACCGCCTACTCCTTATTAAATGTCATCCCATAATTTATATTCTCTAGCACTAAATGCGTTTTGGGTAGGGCTGATAAAACCGCGGGGGCCGCACGCAAACCCACCGATGACGTCAAAGGATCCGGGACACATTTTGCTTGCGCTGAGCCACTGGGAGGCCAACGCCTGTGAATTGATGTCCGAGATGGTGAGCCGCACGTCCGCGAGGTCCTCCAGGTCGGCATCCTCCTCGTTGTTCCTGGCCAGGTGGACCACCACGCTCTTGGTGAGGTCCGCTTGCTGGAGAAACCGGAATTGGAAAATTGGGGAAATGGAGATTTAGTTGAGCGGAGCGAAACAAACAAAAATCGACGTGGCGGATTACTTACATGGCCCACAATTATCCCGTACGAGAACTGGTTCTCCTGTGCGCATTTCTCCAGGTACAGCTCATCGTGTTTGCTCAATAGCACTGTGCGCATCTTAAAATACGGGGTTTTCGTTAAATTTAATGTTAACTAAATTCGTTCCAAAATATGACCAATTTATCAATGGTACGGACTGGTGTGACCGTAGCCTTGGGAGGCTATATTTAGGTGAAAGTCAACGGTATATCGATTGGGAAATTTTCGTATCGATATTTGACAGATTTCTTTTATTATTTGGCCATCTCTATAAAAACCGTTGAATTTAAAAATAGATTTTGAAATGTTTGAACTGTCTATATTGGTAATTATTAATGGAAATGAATTAATTTTTATTAAATTTTATTCAAATGATGACTCAATTTGATTTAAAATATTAGTTTCACTGTATCATTTAAAAAGCTTCCGAAAAAAGAAAAACTTAATGGTGATACTTAAATGGATTTAAGCTCCAGAAAGTTATTTTAAAAGTAATGTCGATTCAAAAAAAATTGTAATGCTCACTATTTCGTTTTAGACAATTTTATTTATTATCAAGTAAACATTTTTTTGAAAATGGAACATAAATATGGGTAAACACAATTTAATATTTATGATTATTTCATAAGTCGATATAAGTATTATTTTAAATAATTTGATATGCATACACAATAATTATTACCTATGATTTAAGCGTAAATACTTTACCATTTACCATTCTGGCATATAATTTGATGAGAAGCTTAAGTGCTTACCTTTCCTAATCTTCAAGTTATTAAAACTTAATTTACCTCCGTGGCTCTGAATCGATGAAAGTATGTACCCTCTTGGCAGGTTCTTCAATTAAGCCCCCAGCTCCAGCTCCACTTCCATTTCCATTTCAATCTCCACTCCATCTCGAAGTCCAGCTGCAGTGCATCTGCTGCCGTGGGGCGATTACGCACGAAATCTGGCCACAGACTGGCGGACTGGGACCCCATAAGTACGGCTCTGTGCCACCCAAATGGTCAAGTGATCGCCGGACTATGGCGCGAACGGACGCGATCGGTAATCGAATTAGGTAAACAAACACTCCATGAGGCGGGCGTACGTTGATAATGTGTGCATAAGCAAATAGGAGACGGGACCCCTGGACGAGGAGACTCCGAGGAGCGGGTTGCGATTGCGGCGGCGATGACGGGCGAAAACTAAATGAAATTTCATTTAGGTGGTCGCCAACGGCTGCGGACCATCTGCTTGTGTGAATGCTTGATTGTTGAAGTGCCACTCGATGGGGCGAGGGCGCACGCTACTCGCAGGAATCACACTCGTAAAAAATGTAACCTAAATGATTCCGAAATCGGTCTTAAAGTATTATAAAATATCTTAATATTTAAGTAATTGTGGGCTAGATTATTCTTAAATTTTATATTTAAAAATTTATATATTTTAAAAGGGAATAAATTTAACTTTTTATTAATATTCCTTTAAAACTAACTTCCACATTGATCTTTTTTATATTAGAGAAAACTTGATTAAAGTTACGAATTTCTTTAAAAAAGTGATCAAAAGTGATTCAATAAAAAATTGTGCTTTTAGAAATATACAGCTTTATTTTTATAAATCTAATCTTCTAACTTGAAGTCTAACTTTCTTTAGTCAAAAATGCATAATATTATGTGCAGTCAATTGTCGTTATTTTCTCACCGTGCAGCGATCGGTATCCAGATATTATTTACTTAGTAAATTATTCCTGTTCGATTGTTTGCGTTTGCTCTGGATCTCTGGCATGAGGGGCACTCGAACGTCATCGTCAGCAACGTTCATTCATGATTTGCCTTTCACAAATCGGTGGAACATATATGTACGAGTGTCTGCCGCATTGTGCACTTTGCATTCGAACAGACAAATAAATACAAAGGCAGTTCTGATCAGCTTAGTGAGACATCTCATTATCGCCAGGTGAGTCCGTTCCATATCGTACCGTTTCACATCCAGATTTGTGGACCTCTTCCCATCCCATCCCGGAATTGGAATCGGTTCGGGTAATTGCTTTTTAACTCGGCTTTCAGCTCTCAGCTTTCAGCCTCCAATCCTGCAGCGCCGTGAGCCACTCAATTCCGTGGGCTTTGATGCAATTTGGCTTCTGTGCAGGCCACTCTGCCATTCGGACCCTGTTCTGTGTGGCTCGCCGATCACGCCATGTGTAGTTTAGTTGCAGTTTCGATTCACATCGGATTGCCTTGCCCAGGCAGCGCATCAATCATCCATCACGCACGAAAGGCCGAAAGACAACGACCTAGCCTCGCAGAATAAACCTGAATGGCAAACGCCCCATGCCACGCATGCGATTGTATGTGGTATCCAGTGCTGCCATCACTCAGCTTGAAAAACAGGACAGATAAGCCACAAAAAACAGGGAAAAAAAGGACAACAAATTTAGGAAAAGGACAAAAAAAAGGACAAAAGTAAATGTGCCTACATTTTTATGTTTTTTCCAATGGGTTATATATTTACTTAATATAAATGGATTTTAAATAAAATTTAATTATGTAATGATCTACTGCGCCCGACTCACAACCTTCTTTGTTTGATCATTTTACCATGGTAAATTTTTGTGCGTATACGTAATAATCTAAAATTATTATAATAATTAATGCATTTCAAGTAACTATATTCGTAATACAAAAAAATTAAATATCTGCGTCAAACCCGAAAAAGAGTCGTTCAAATCTGAATTTTTTTCTGACAAAAAAGCTGAGAGTAAAAATTAAGAAATTTTAAAAGTGCTTTACTCTTTTTTTTGCTACAGAAAAAATCGTACTATAAAGAAAATCTATCGACTGCTTTACGTCTCTTTGATAATTTGTAAAAAGAATTATTTTTTAAGTGCCGAACTGTAAGAATGATGGTTAAAAAGGCATTTTAGCAAATAAAAACAGGTTTATACACTTTCGACTAGCAAAAATAACACTCAAAACCTTTTTTTTTTAAAAAGGATAGATTTCCGGATAGGGGATGTTTGAAATTTTTTCCGGATAAAGCCGTTAAAAAAAGGACAGATCTGTCCGGAAAGAGGACAAAATGGCAGCACTGGTGGTATCCAAGGTTCTGGTTCCATCGGGATGAGGATGAATGCAATTTCGCTGCACTCAGGTGCCGATTAAAATTCTTGCCTATAATCCTATAAAATAGTTTGTTTCTTAAATTTTAGGGCCACTTCTTGTTAAGATAGTCTTTTGAATAGAATGTTTTCTGATAATAATTCAAAACTGTTTTTGGGGATTAATGTCTTGACATTTTCTTGTTGCGCCTATTTTTTTTCATTTTAGGCCTAGTACTCACTTCAATCAAAAAGGCAACGAAACGAAAATTTCTATACAAAAATGACAGGCGGAAAATTTCGTGTTCAAAATTTTGTATGGAGATTTTTATTTCGTAGGCTTTTCGATTGAAGTGAGTACTAGGCCTTAGTTTGTAATCCTATTTTAACTTCGGATTAAGTTGGTGATAATTTTAATTAGGTTTTAATAATTAATATTTTAATTTATAGTAATATTCTAATACTCTGTAATATTCTATTGAATGTTGGGAACAAAATATTCCATTGTTTTCTTAGATTTTAAAAATATTTTTGATGGTTGTTGCTCATGTCAATACGCAGTGTTCCTTTAAGAAAAAACACTTCGAAACTGTTCGAAATTGTTCAAGATTGTTCATTGTAGTCAAAGCTAGACAATTTTATGAACGAAAAACCAAATATTTTTATCAAGAGTGACAGAGTCACACTGATATACTCATGCTTCTTAAAACTAAAATATCCATTGCATATTTAAAAAGATCATTAGACATCAGAATATATGCAAAAACGTATTCTTAACATTATATTCTTATCGAACTTTGATTAAACATAAATTGTTCTCCAAAATTTAAAATTAGTTTTAGGATAAACCAAATTTTTTATAACTTTTTTATTTTATCTGATCTAAATTCACTTGGATTCTTAAAAACGGTGTTTGCTATCCCGTTAAAAGCAACTAAAATTGATTAAAATAAGAAACAAAAACAGTTTATAAAAGTTTGGAGTACTTTTGGTGTGTTTTTTGGCCTTTTTCAAAATAAATTAATTTTTAGTTTGGTTTGTTTCGTACTTAACACGTGAAGTTTCCTAATCGAAATCGTAGGTATCCCCCTCCACTATTGTTTTGCATAAATCCCATGTCTAAATGATTAGACAACATGAATTGGTATTTGAAAGTGCCTACTTATTAGGGCCATGGTCTCGACTTTAATGCAACCGAAAATTGAATCCATCAATCAGCAGAGAACATAAAGCATTAAAAGGTTTTAAATGATACAAATCCAATTCTGCCTCACTTTTCCAACAATTAAAATGGTCGATTAAGAGTTAAATGCCCCTAAAGGTTGAGTTCTAACGCCCGATGTCCAAAAGTTGATTTGTTGTAATGAAACAGCGAGGGTTCCCCAACTCTTCTTCTTCGTAGCCCTCTTCTTCTTGCTGCGTCCCCAACTCTCTTCCTCTCTCTCTCTCTACCCCATACTTACTCTTCTTTTTGGTACCTCTTCCTCTTGCCAGTGTTTATACTTAGCGCTTTGCCAACGAGTTTATAATTGTTTGATTTGTGTGCGCACAGAGTGTCAATATGGTTGTCCCGCTCTCTCATGGAAGAGCGAGAGAGAGCGAGTTTCCCTCAACGGGCGCCATTATGAAAGTGCGGTACTCGCAAACCGGTTGGCGTTTCGAAAATCACTCGAAAACCGAGTGAAACGGTTCGAGTGGAGTGGAGTGACCCGGGTGACCAGGTGAAATTCAAGCGCTCATTGTGCTGAGAGCAGCTTTCGCGTGAACAACGTTTCAACGGAGCGCAGCGTTCAAAAGAAATTTAAAGAAAAAAAAATATTTCAAAAAAGAAAGAAAACCTGGAACGTTTTCTAACTGTTTATGCCGGGATCGGCTTTCGTGTGCGTGTATATAAATATGTGTGTGTGAGTGAGCAGCACGCTATGAATCCAATTGACCGCATTGCGTTTTCATTTCCGTTTCCGGTTGCATTTTCTATAATCGATACTTCTGCCTTGGATGTGCGACAATTGTGACTGTGAACGTTTTCGTGCTCCACATTAGCTGGAAAAGTAATACCCGCTATAAAACAAAAAATAGAATAACAATAAATAAAGGGAAATTGATTAAGGCGATTCTTAGACATGTTGATTGAGCCGACTTTAAACCGTGACCTTGGCTCGCTTACTGTCGCAAATTCTGGCCTCTCGGCCGCGCACTGGAAAATGGAGCCCCATCCCCAACGCATCACATCGCTGGCCCCTCACGCCTCCAGTGGTAAGTGCCCCAAGTGCTCGGGTGGTAATTAGCCGACGGCAAAGCCAAGCTTGGCTTTTATGAAAAATATAAACCGTACTGTGATAAAAATAAGGAGAATAATACAAGTAATTAGGTCAAAGGTGTAGTGTGACATGACTTAAGGAATCCAATAAGTTCGAATTTTAATTTTAGTGGCTTTTAATTGAACTAATGTTATCCATTTTTACTTTTGGAGCAATGTATTAATAAATTAATTAATTGTATCACAATTCGAAATGTATTTGTTTTGATATTTTTAAATGCGTATTTCGAAAACATTAAAATCAGATAATTTTCAATTCGAAATAGATTATAAATGATATAAATGATTATATAAACTCTTAACATCTAAAAAAAAAATGCTAAGTCCAGTGTAATTTACATTTTTTTGGTCATTTAAATCTCTAAGGACCTCTACATATATTGTCTTTTTTAAAAACCCCAAATTCGATTTTAAATCATTTTATAATAATCCTTTAAATTGGTTTCTGTTCACTTAAATCAAAAATTTAGTTTACAAAATAAATGGATTTGCTTTAACTAAATAATATAAAAATATGTTGAGCCTTTCGATGTAGTTAATCCATAGTTAATGTTTCTGTTCATCTGGTTAGCATATTTAATTCTAACAAATAGAAACCGCTACGCATGTCATAATACCAAGTGCGTGGCCCATTTGCCAGTCCCATTTCCTTGCTTTTCACCTTTCTTAGCGATAGACAAAAATAAACAAAACTGGTTCTCATTTGATGAGCGGCACAATTGATTATGGGCCCATATATATATTCAGTTAGGGAGGACTGGAGGTGCGCGTACTTTTTAAAAAATATTTACTCGACAAACAACAAAAGTGAAACGCGCATTTAAAACGCTAATTGACAATTTGAGCGACGAGTTGCCCAAGCCGAATGATATATGTATGTTTTTTAAGCGAAGGCAAATATAATATTCTGTCGAATTAACGTAATACACGGTCGTTTTTTAGCCAGCTGAGTACATATTTTAATTTTCGCCTTTTGTGCTGGCAGCCCGTCGTTTCAATTAGCTTGATAAATCTGCCCGCGATGCCAGGAGATTCGATTGCGTGTCGCCACCATTTTGGCGATCGCATTGGATCGTCATTGGTATTTGTACTTATTTATTTATTTGCTAGGGGAATAGGAATAACGAATAACAAATACGAGTACGAGTACATCGTAAACCCATCAGTCATTTCGGTTCAGTTCAGTTCAGTCAACACAATTAACGGTTAATTTATCATAATTAACCATTGTGGCCGGGACAGCTAAAGCCACAATAATGACAATGGCCAATTATCATTCAATTCGTTCAATTGCAGTAGCGGCGGCATCCGTGGCAGCAGCAGCAGCGGCGGCGGCAGCGGCAGCAGCGGCAACGGGAACGGGATCTGGAGCGGTAACGGCGGGGTCCCCCACATCGCCCACATCTGTGCAAATACCGCCCGGCTTTGGCGGCGCCTCTGGAATGCCACCGGGAGCAGCCGGAGCCACGGGGAGCACCCTCAACACCCTGATGTCGCAGCATCGCCTCCTGGAATTCTCCCGGTTCGGCGGTCTTCGCGGCTACGATATCGCCCAGCACATGCTAACGCAGCAGGGCGCTGTCTCCAAGTTGCTAGGTGAGTTAAGAACCTTATAAACACTCAACAAAAAATAAGAAAACGGAAAGCAAGACCCTTCAGTTCCGCCATCAGATAAGTAATAGGCACTTTGTTTTCGATTTGTTTGCTAATTTTTATGATAAACATGTTATTATCCTGCGACTTGCCCCTCCCCTCAGCCAAGTCATATCCCTCGTGTGCGCAGCCGTGTAATTTAGCCACTTAAAATTGCATAAACTCCTGGCTGGCGGTGGCCAAAACGCGGCTGGCTCATTAATCAAAATGCGGCTTATTCCCCGGTGGTGGTGGTGGTTGGTGCGTGCTGTCCTGGCACTGAGAAAAAATAAATATGTTTTATAAAATATCTGCTATAGAATAGAAAGTAGAGGGAGCATTAAAATATTTAGATATAAAGAATACCCATGATAAGAACACACATTTTAAATTACAGTGGTTTTAAGAAACTAAATCTCCATAAAAAATTTATTTATCTCTTTTAATGGTACTTTTGAGTTATATTTAAAAAGTGAATATCTTAAATTGGAAGTCTCTTAAACCAGTTTATTGGCAAAAGTTGAAAGTTTTTTACAATAGATATTATTTTAAATTTTTTTTGTTATTGGGTATTATAGTTTATACAACATTTTAAAAAAATCAGTGAGGTTCTTATTAATAAAATGAAATATTCTTATGTTAATACAATTTTACTTCAGTAGGGTAAAATATATTATTTATTCCTTTCTCTGTAAAAACGGTTGGGCATTTAAATTTTTAATTTTTAAATTGTATAGTTACCATATTATTTTTAAAGATTTTCTTATCAAGTTTAGTCGCTTTTATCTTAGTGCATGTACCGAGGCAGGTAGTGTTTTCCCTCTCGTTTATTTTACAACACTTCATGTTGATGAGGCCGACAGATAAAGATATTAAAACCAAAGGGATAAGCCACGCTGCCAGCTAAAAAGCAGATGGATTGCCAAAATCCAAAATCTTGCTCGCATAGTCATAAATCGATTGTCTCATAATTTTCTCGGATGTGCTCTGATTTTTGCAGGCTCGCTGCGACCACCGGGCTTAATTGGTGGCTCAAAGCCCAAGGTGGCCACGCCGACGGTCGTCTCCAAGATCGAGCAGTACAAGCGGGAGAATCCGACGATCTTCGCCTGGGAGATACGCGAACGCCTGATCTCAGAGGGTGAGTGTGATCCGCCGATAATTGCAGCTAATCCGGGAAACGGGGAAATGGGGCCCAGATTGATCGCTGATTGATCGACGGCCGCATTTAGCTTTTGATCTCGATCTGGCAGTGGTTGGTAATTGCGTAATCCCTTGCTTGCAGGTGTCTGCACGAATGCCACCGCTCCGTCGGTGAGCAGCATCAATCGCATCCTGCGCAATCGAGCCGCCGAGCGGGTGGCCACCGAGTTTGCCCGGACCGCCGCCTACGGGCTCTACCCGCCGCCCCCTCATCCGTACGGCAGCTTCACCTGGCATCCGGCTGGAAGTGTTCCCGGTGGCCAGGGGGTTCCCCCGCCGCCGCCTCCATCCGCCCTGTGGTCCGTGGCGGCTCCCACGCTCGCCAATCTGCCGCCAAGTGCCGCCAGTGCGGTCCAGCCATCGCCCACTTGTGGTTCCCTGAGCTCCGCCCATCTGATGGCCAGCGGTGGTGCAGGTGGTGTGCCCACCAACAGGGCCATCTCACCCGGCTCTGGTAGTCATGATACCTTGGAATCGGCCGACGAGAACAGGCACATAGACTCCGATTACCTGGATGACGACGATGAGCCCAAGTTCCGGCGCAACAGGACCACCTTCAGTCCCGAGCAGCTGGAGGAGCTGGAGAAGGAGTTCGACAAGAGCCACTATCCCTGTGTGAGCACCAGGGAGAGGCTCTCCAGTCGCACCAGCTTGAGCGAAGCGCGAGTGCAGGTGAGTCAAGCTAATATATATTTTAGTAACCTGGAATAAATTTTATTTTCTGTGGAACTTAAATTAAATTCAAGAATTTTTTCTTTATGAATAAAAATATAGCCGAAATAACTTTGTTATGTATATTGTATCCGTTTTCCAAAAAGAAAGAAAAAAGGAAGGTTTTAAATTCATCATATTCTGCAAGCTATTTTAGAATACTAGAAAGGGAAATTTAAATTTTTGCATATTGAATAAAGCATTTTGTAATAATTATTATTTGAATAAAATACAAAAACATATTTACTTTACATTATAATAAAGTGCATGGTTTAATTTAAAAATATTAGATTCAATGTTGAAAATATTAAATACGGTGTTGGTCAAATTTACCTTTAATTTTTTTAAAAAGAATTTAAGTTTAATTAATAATAATTGCTTTTATTACTTCCATATTTAAAATAATTAAAAGATACAAAAGACAAGAATAAAAAAAAACATTTTTTTTAAAAGGGAGACCCAAATTAACAGATTCAGCTAAGTTTTTTTTAGTGTAGGCATAAACTAGGCATGACCTACATATTGATATCATAGTTTATTAAAAACAAAATTTCTTTGGTGTTAACAATACCTTCTGTCGCCGTCAAAAAAATGTTTTTTTTTAACTTTAGAGGATATTGAATAGTTTTTCAATAAGTTTTGTTACCCGTTCATCACTTAACCCCTATTTTATTTTCCTCTGCAGGTTTGGTTCTCGAATCGCCGGGCTAAATGGCGTCGCCACCAGCGCATGAATCTCCTGAAGCGTCAGCGCTCCAGTCCCGCCAATCCGATGCACTCGCAGCAATCGAACGATGCGCCGGCCGGTTCGCCCACGCCCAGCAATCACAGCAGTGCCTCCACCTCCGCTCCAGTGGCTCCCGTTCCGCCCACTCCCCAGCAGCAGTCGCAGTTGCCCCTGTGCGGTGACCACTCGCCGCAGGCTCCGCCGCCCTCGGTGATGCTGCATCCCCTGCATGGACCTCCTGGCGGGCATCATCACCACCATCCTTTGCACCTGCCCACGCATCCGGCGGCCCTGCAGCTCCTCAGTCACTACCACCAACAGCAGCAGCAACAGCAGCAGCAGCAACATCAACAGCAGCAACAACAGCAGCAACTCTCACCCACAGGCTGCAATCCGGCTGCAAGTCATCTTTCCATGGGCGGCGAGAGGAGTGCCTTCAGGAGTCTGGTGAGCTCTCCCTCGGCGGCTGCCTTCCTGGGATTGGCCAGGCAATATGCAGTGGCTGCTTCATTGACAGTCGCCGAGGAGCAACGCTCCCGATTGCACTACTCCTCGCCACTGGCCGTCGATGGAGGAGCAGCAGGACCCATGGGCGGCGGCGGCGGCTCAACCATGACGGTGGACAACTCGTCGTCGGACTCGGATGAGGAGATCAACGTGCACGACGATTCGGATGGTGAAATCGAGTCGCCGGCGGCGACGGCGGCAAAGGTGGCCCGCCTGTCATCCTCCGATGCGCCGGCCACGTTGCAATTCCTAAAGCATGACCGCTAGATAGGCGGCGGCAAAGTCTAATTGAAAACTTGAGTTGTGCGCGCCTCTGTGATTGACAGCAGCAGCAACAACAGCAACTACTGATGCAATTGCAATTGCAGCTTGTTGGACTGAAACACGAGAAGCGACTACATTTGTGGGCAAACAAATCGAAAACCAAAGTTAAAATGCTGCTCACCTACTTGCCTGCGGTTCGGGGTCGCTGGAAGAAAAACAAAAAAAAAAGCAAACAGAAAATAGAAAAAAAGAAGAAAAAAACTAGAAACAGCAACAATATAATGGGCGGCTTAAGATTAGCTGAAATTGTAACTAATACTACGTACGAGCACGCTTGTCCCATTTTAATGCACACACTACAATCTACAATAGATCGTACGAGAACTCGTATACCCTCCAGTTATGCATAATTACTATACTTGTTCATTCGCCGGCTGCCGACTTACCTCATCACCATTTAAGGCTATAGCATATGCAATATAACTCTATGTAATTGTAACTCTAAAGTACTCCTAAGACATCTTATTTATGAATGCGTATTGTGTAAGAATTCATTTGGTTGCGTTTGAACTGATATTTAAGTGTTTGTTTGGCTCAAAAAGGCAACCCGTACTCCACTGAGTGAGAAAGCAAATAAAAAGTGCAAGAATATACGAAAAATCCTTAGTTTTATTTGGGGAAATTAACCAGGAAATCGGTTTGCTTTGGTTTGACAACAAACTCAATTTATTCGTTCGATTTGACGCATAATTATCCATCCAAACACAATGGGGAACACGGAGACAACACACAAAACACGGCCGGCGAGCATAAATAAGCATTTAACACTCGAAAGCTTCTTAAAACGTTATTAAATATTAATACAATCAATATTCATTGTGTGACCGAGCGAAGACAGTGGAGATGCCGAACGAAATCGAAATCAAAAACCAAAATACGCGCATAGAAATCGCTTAAATTTCGAACGTAATGGCCAATATGTCCAAATCTGGTAGATAACATCGACATTTTAATTATAACCAAATGAAGCCGCGTTCGCACAAACACACAGACAAACTATATGGGATGGGAATGGATATATAGGATGGCATACTATAGTATGGGAGGGGTACTCCGCTGACCGATTAAAAATGCCGAGCCAACTAAGCACATAAATCAATGTAAATTATGGTGTTAACAAAAGGCGAGCTTGCAGGCTTGGATTGGATCGGATCGTTGACTTTTTTAGGTTGGAAACCGGGTGGATGTGGATGTGGATGCCTGGCCCGGCCTGGCCGAGATTTAAATGAGCTGGCCTCTTCTTAGGGGCCTTCGCATCTGATAAGCGAGCGTGGAGCGGAGCGGAGCTCTTTCGTGTCGATACTTACAGCTCAGATCGGGATTGGGATTGAAATCGCGGGGGGAATTTGGGATCGGAACGGCATAAGCATCGGCATCGGGTGTCCACAAATTCAATTTGCTTGGGTTTTTATGAGCAAATGGCCGCCCCATCCAACCGACTTATTCTAATTTAGTGCGGAGCTGCTCGTGAGCATTCCTTTAATAAATTTAAATCACCTTCTATTGAAAATATTTTCACCTCGCGCCCATAAATTATACATTATACGATATTTATACAGTCTGCGCCACGGCTGTGGGTCAGCAAAAACAAAACCGAATGTATGTTTGTATATATTTTGGGCGTTTGTTTGCCTGCGGTTCACGCTTGTTCAGTGGTTTCGTTTAGTGTACTAAATTCTGATTTCGGGGCCTGGGGATTCCATCAGCATTCCGTTCGGAGGAGCATTGTGCCTTGATGGTTTGATGGACCTGGGCAAAAGTGGCGCTCTCATGAGCGCCATATAATCGCAGTCAAACATTTTTACGATCCACCATCTCAAGCTCGTATATCCACCATCCTCGGCGAGCTGATCAGTTGGCCACTTGATGAGGCCCGCGTCCTGCAGATTGTCCAGGCAACTTTGTTGCCAAATTTTTGTGGCCCGCTGTTGGCTCTGAGCAGTTTTTATTGTTCGGGCTGGCGGAAATCGATGAACTTTACCAAGGATCCATGGCCAGCTTCGTAGCACACAGGGAAAAAAGATCACTAATCGTTATCACTAAAAAGGAGGGAACAAGAAAAATGTATTCATTGGCATATTAGATTTAAATTATATCACCAGTTTTTAGTAGTAGTTTTTAGGAATGGAATATATAGCTTATTACAAATACGAAAAAACTGGTGCCCATAGTCAAAAAAAGGTTTTGTAAACTATTATAATATTTGAAATATTTTCTATAAAAAATCTGGAACGGGCTTTGGAACAAAATATTTGGAAGCTGACTTACAAAATTAAAAAATCCTCAGTTCTAGTTTCTCATTAAGTTGACTTGTTATTAAGATGCTTAGTAAATTTTACGGTTTATTATTTTACTTTGAAAGTTGAGTTTCTTACTAGGAGAAAATACATATGTATCATCCTAAATGCTAATTAAGCGCTTATTATTTTTTCTTTTAGAGGCTGTACATATATTACGTCATAACATTTTCTGTCATTTTTGACCGCCGCCCCCACCACTCCCCCATGTAATCATTTCTTCATAAAAGAAATAATTTCTTCACGGGAGTAATTATTTGGTTGACCCCCTCCCCACCCATAGGTGATTAGGTAATATATGGATAGCCCCTTACATATCCTACCATTTTTCAATTCCGAATTTTCTCAGTGCAGTTGGATCTTTGGGGCTCCCCAGGCAAGGAGCCGGTGATAAATCTGTTGGCGAGCCGGCGCAACATCGCCATTGCATACTTCTAAATGGACCATAAACGTGCGAAGTCGCAACACCAGCAATAACTAAAGTTAGTTACGTTTACTAATATGACAACAATGTTGTCCGTGGCCCGGCCCTTCCCCTTCGCAAAGTCGCCGATGCAAATGCGAGCTAACCAGTGCCAGACGCAGGCGAATATAATTCCCATTCCCAGATTGTGAACGGGAATGGGTGTCGTTATTCCGCCATTACGTTTACGGCTTACAAAAACAAATACTTCAAATGCTAGGGTCTCTCCCTGGGCTCCAAGAAGTCCACTCCCCTCCCCGGTAATCAAACACGCAAAAGCAATTAAGTCGCACGGGCCCATGGGTTAAAGGATCTGCAATTACAAATCATATGGTTTTCATATAGGCACAAACTTTTACTAAGTAAAAAAAAGAGCTCTTAAAAAATGTGGTAAAAGTTTGTAGTTTTGATAGAAGAAATTGGAAAACTTTTAGAGAGAATTAAAGAGAACTATTTAATACATTTTAGTTATAAACATTTAAAGTAGGATATTGTATTGACATCGGACTTAAAATTTAAAATGTTGTCCTAATTCTATTTTATATTAAGGTATGAACAAATCAAAATATATCAAAATGTAATCATTGGTCACATTTAATGGTTAAGAAAATAAGAATTTTAAATATCTTTAAAAATTCAATGCTACAGTTTAAATGAGCATCTTCTTTATCTAAATTTATTTTTTAAATATCCGTACCTATTCGAATACATATGATGCCAATAAATATATAACTTGTTTAGTAAAATCAAAGTGGTTTTCTTCTATAAACTCCTGTCTCAACAAATTGAGATAGGTTTCTTTTTATATACACTTTATATATATCCCAAGGTATGCCTGTGAAACATGTTGGGGTATTGAAATGCGTGAGAGTGTCGCCATCCAGTCGACTGATTTATGCTCAAACTTAAATGGCCACAATGGCGATTCAGATGACCCGACCCAGGTATTCCACTCCGCGGCTCCCCGATTCCGAGGGTTCGACGTCAGGGCCTCTGTTAATGAGCCGAGCGATTAAAAAATGTGCATTTGTGTTTGTCCGCTCCTTAAATGAGCTCGAGCTTTTAACGCGCTGCCCTAGGAGGATGGATCGCGGGGTTTTTTTTTTGGGGGAGGGGGGAAGTGATTTTGTCTCGTTGTCATCTCATTTGGAATTGGGCGATAAGACAAATTTGTTTTCTTTGTTTATAACTTTATGCAGATACAGGTTTCGGTTTCGGATGCGCTGCTCCAACGGGCATCTTCGACTTTTTCCCGATCCCCAGCCTGAATACCCAGCAGAGCATTCGAACTTCGGTAGATTCAACTCGTGGCGTTTTGGTATATATTCAATCTTTGTCGCCTCGCAAGTCCGGAGCGACAACAACAAAAGTGGAATTCTGAACATTGATTTGAATTTTGAATTCAAATGTCTCCGTTGTCGCTGTGTTTCTCGGGGTTTTATTTTATTTGACCGCGGCGGCAGCTGCCGCTGACATCTTCATTAACGAGGAGTGTGATCAAAAGAGTAATGAGGTGTTGATAGTGCCCAAAAGCGAAGGGGCTTTATGCATTCCCCTGTGGATTAATTAGGAACAATGCCACTAGCTCAGGTCGCCAGAAGTTGTTCTAGTATGCCCCCACTGGTAATTGTGGGCCTCTTGTGTCCCCGATTGATCTTTGAGGTCTTTTGAGGCCTTTCAAATCTCTCAGATCTCTCAGATCTTTCTGATTCCGCTTGTGATCCCAAGTCTGGCTCTGATTCCGATTCTTGTTCGTGCTCGAACCCGTATTCAACGCAGCTGGGGCCTTTGTTATGCCTGAGCAATTTGCATATGATAAATCTGCTTCCATATTTTGTTAAATTGCTGTGCGGGTTTTCTCTTATTGGCCTGGCCAAAACCATTGGCGCGTGGTAAATTGGTTGTATTGTAAGGCATCTAATTAGTGGCCGGCTACCGAATTATGACCAATTATAACTATTGATTGATTGTGGGCTATAATCAGGGGGCTCCTCAACTCCCGTTGCTGCGGATTTCGGTTCCAAAAACAGTTGCGCGTTTCGCATTGTTGTGAAAGTTTATCGGTCAAGCCAGAAAGTTAGGAAACAAAAAATGTCAAAAGGTTAAGAGCTCCACACCCAGAAAAGCTGCTATAATGGTGCGTTTATTTATTTTGTCAATACAAAATATAATCTGATGAAATCTACAATTGATGTTACAACTTGAGTAATGCTGTAAAAATATGAAAATATTCAAAAACGTGACTTTATTTATTTTTTTAATTTTTTTTTTTTAGTTTTCTTATGTATTTATATGATTTTATGCGATTTAAAAGGCGTTATATTTATAGTGACAAAATCACTTTTAAGCATACAACTTTTTTTTAGCTCCATTTTTAACAGTAGATATAAAAAAAAAACATACAATT